TGAGCAGTCCGGGGATTCCTGGCTGGGCCTGCCGCCCACGTGACTCCCGCAGACCGCTTCCCCGACCTGGGCACGGGTTTCTGCGCTGCGCCACTCTCCGCAGCGGCTGCAGTGGGTGCTGCGGAATGGGCGCTTCTTGGAGCGAGTTAGCATGCTCGGAAAGCTTGCTTGGCAGGAAAGCTTCTGGCATGGGTGTGGAGAACAGAATGCTGCCTTAAAGTCTGTTTGGCCTCTGCATGGTCATGGGCTACCATCCGTCCTTGCATCCACTACTGCCTCTTTTCTTTTATCTTTTTAGAGATGAGGGTCTCACCTATCTCCAAAGCTGGAGTGTAGTGGCGCAGTCCTTAGCTCACTGAAGCCTTGACCTCCCGGACTCAAGCGATCCGCCCACCTCAACCCAGGTGTGCACCACCGCCCCCGGCTAATTTTTTTTTTTTTTTTAAGGCGAGGGTCTCACTATTACAGTTGCCCAGTCTGGTATCGAACTACTGGCCTCAAGTTGTTTCCCGCCTTGACCTCCCAAAGTGTTGGGATTACAGGCCCTAGGCACCAATCCTGGCACCACGAGTCTTTTCCTCTTTTTTTTTTCTTTTCCTTTTGAGGCAAGGTCTTGCTCTGCCTTCCAGGCTGACTGCAGTGGCGCCATCATGCCCCACTGCGACCTCCACCTCCGAGGTCCAAGCGATCCCCCTTCCTCAGCCTTGCCTTGGGCAGGGATTACAGGTGCCCAGCTAGTTTTACCACTGCGTCTTTTCTATGCACTTCCTTGGACTCACCTGTTAAGGGTGAGTCCTCTAGTGGATTCTCCTGCCCTGCGAAGACAAAACCAACTTTTCTGCACCTCTGACCTATGTCACTTGGCAAATACCTGCTTGGGCGAAAACAAGGAAGCCTTTTAGCCTTTTATAAATAGCCTTTCTCAGAATACCAAACGCAGTATCACCTAGGGCCTTTTGAAAATAGATGCGATTGCTAGCCAGAGGTCAAAAGCGGTAGAGAAAGTCGTGACCTGCTTTCTGGGGCAAGATAAGCTATAGAAAATACTTCTACTGAGCCTTTTTGTAATACCCTTTGTAAGGGAGCCAGAGGTAGTGGGAGACTTTTGCTGTATTCTGAGCTTTGATCAAATGCTAAATTAACAGGCTCCAAACATTCAAATTGAACCTAGAGGTTGTCCTAACATTTTAGAGATAGGGAGACTGAACCTGTAGGTGATGTAGGCTGTAATCCGGTCCCCAACCTTTCCAGTAGAATGTGAATTCCATGAATTGAGAGGCTTGGGTCTTGCTCTTAAATTTCCATTCCCTAACACAGTACCTGGCACGTAATTGGACCTAATTAATATTTACTAAGTGAATGAGTAGATGGAAAGCGAGTTCCCAAGGTTCGTCAGATAGTGGTGAAGCCAAGATTACTATCCAGGTCCCTTGACCGTAGCCAGAGCTTTTAATTATTTTTGGGCGGTATGACTAGTAGGGTCCCAGCTCAGGTCACTCCAGCCGGTTAGGTAAATTAACTCAGAAGAAGGTCAATGACTGTCTAACTTTTCAAATTCTGGTAACTACTCCTTTGGGAGCTTGAAGCGCTCATGGCTAATTAGGAAAAGGAAATTACCATGCTTGGATTTCATCACTGATTTGTTGAGCATCTATTGCTCTGTGCATGAAGCACTTCACGCTTAACTCTTTCATTAGCTGGTGTTCTGAAACAGAAGACAAGACTATTGGCAAGGCCATCATCAAATAACATTTACCATACCCACTGTGTGCCTAGCAGGGCTAGCATAACTGGAGCCTGAAGGGAGATAAGGAAAATATTATAATTTAAATCCTAAAGCAAGAATAGATTTTAACAGGTTGGGGTAAATGCAGAAAACAACACTAACAACAACAACAACAAAACACTAGGTCCACAGAAGACACACTACCTCTGATGTACCAAGTTAGCAACAGACTAAAACAAAGAGGTGAAGATTTGAAACATTAACATATGAATGCATTTTTTAAAATCTTTTTAGTTGGTCTGGGGGCAGTGGACTATGCAAGACTGCGTATTGACAGTAGGAATCCTTGTCCACCCTGTATCTCAATGTGGAAAGACTTCCTAGAGGGGGTGATACTTCAGGAAACCTTCACAGCAGAGATGATGGCAGCTTTGGAACTGGATGTTGTTTTTGGCCCTTGGAAGCTAAGAGAAGACAAGGCCTTGCAGGTGACAGCAAAGAGATTAGGGAGGCAAATCTGATTTCTCGTGAGTTCACATAATTATCTATAATGTAATTAATTAAAATTAATATGCAGGAAAATTGCTACATGATCAGAACGATTGAAGAGTATAAGCTTTCAGGAGGTGAGTTGTTTTTATTCTGATGGTTTACATGACTATTTTCCCTTCCTCAACTATAAACTCCTCAAAAGGGTCCCAAAACTTAACACAGAATAACTGGTAAAGTTTTTGCTATATACTGTACATTAAAACGTGGGAAGACTATAGATGTGATTTTTTAAAAAACTGTGCAAAGAAGCTGAATCCTGTGTCTTTAGATAAACATTAAATACATCCAATTAAGCTAGAAAAAAATTTCCTAGACTAGGAGCCATGGCTCATGCATATAATCCCAGCACTTCGGGAGGCTGAGGCAGGAGGATCACTTGATCCCAGGAGTTTAAGAGCAGCTGAGGCAACATAGCAAGACCCTGTGTCTACACAAAATTAAGAAAAAAATTAGCCTGGCATGGTGCCACATACCTGTAGTCCCAGCTACTTGGGAGGCGGAGGGGGAAGAATTGCTTGAGCTCAAAATTTGAGGTTGCAGAGAGCCATGACCACACCATTGCACTTCAGCCTGGGTGACAGAACTAGGCCCTGTATCAAGGCGAGGGGGAAAAAAAGACAGAAAGTAGCAAGTGTTGGACAAAATGTGAAGAAGTTAAAATCCTCATATGTTCCCTGTGGGATTGTGAAATGATGCAGATACTTTTTAAACAGCTTAGCTGTTCCTCAAAATGTTACACATGGAGTTACCATATGATCCAGGTAATTCCACTCTTAGGTGTATATAACCAAGAAAAATAAGAACATATCTCCATACAAAAACTTGTATATCAATGTTCATAGTAGTAGTATTCATAATATCCAAAGGGTAAAAACTATCCACATGTCCATCAAATGATGAATGGATAAACCAAGTGTGATATATTCAGACAATGGAATATTATTCAGCCATGAACAAAATGAAGACATATGCTACAACATGGATGAATCTTCAAAACATGCTAAATGAAGAAAGCCAGATGCAAAAGGCCACACACTGTATTATTCCAGTTATATGAAATGTCTAGAATAGACAGTAGGCTGAGATGAGGAGGGAATGTGGAGTGACTACTAATGGGCATGGGTTTTTTTTGGAGTGATGAAAATGGTTTGAAAATAGCTTATGGCTAGTCGAGGGGCTCATGCTTATAATCCCAGCACTTTGGAAGGCCAAGGTGGATAGATCACTTGAGTGCAGGAGTTTGAGATAAGCCTGGGGAACATGGCAAAACCCTGTCCCTACACAAAATACAAAAATTAGCCAGTCATGGTGGCACACGCCTGTAATCCCAGATGCTTGGGAGGCTGAGGTGGGAGGATCCATTGATCCTGGGAGTTCGAGGCTGCAGTGAGCTGTGATTGTGCCGCTGCACTCCAGCCTGGGTGACAGAGGAGACCCTATCTCAACGACAACGAAAAAAAACAGAAAGAGAAAGGAAAATGGGTTATGGCAGGGCAAGGTGGTTCGTACTTGGAATGCCAGCACTTTGGGAGGCTGAGGCCGGAGAATCACTTGAGTCCAGGAGTTTGAGACCAGCCTGGGCAACATTCAAGACTTCATCTCTACCAATAATAATAATCATCATCATCATAATAAATCAGTTGAGCGTGGTAGTGTGCACTTGTAGTCCCAACTATTCAAGAGGCTGAGGCTGGAGGACCACTTGAGCCCAGGACTTTGAGACTTTGAGATTGCAGTGATCCTGCCACTGCCTTCCAGCCCAGGTGACAGAGCAAGACCTTGTCTCTAAAAAATAAAAAAGAAAGAAAATTATGGTGATCATTGCACAACTCTGTGGATATACTAAAAACTACTGAATTATGCATTTGAAGGATGAATGATTCCTATGGTATGTAAATCATATCTAAATAAAAGCTGTTTTCAAAAACCGTACCATGAGCCAGGTACTATGCTCATTGCTTGAGATAAAAAGATAATTATGTTCTAACTATAAATGTCTCAGCAGCAACAATACTTACTTTGTGACATTATTGCATATATCATGGACATTTTATATATCTTAATTATTTTTTCTGGTGAATTCACAGTACTCTATATGATAGCTTAAATGTAATTGTTTAAATGGTATAAATGAGCTGAGGCCTACTAAAGCCAAATCATTCATGCCCAGATGAAACGAATATTTAGCACTCTAGACTAGTAGAAATGCTATTTGAATTTATAATTGTTTAATAAACTTTTTGTGTAATCTTCATGATGTAAAAAATACTTTTACATTTTGTAAAGTAAACATGTGTTGAGCATTTCACAAAGCATATGGGAATTGTACACAGATATGTCATATTTTTAGTTTTGTTGGTTCTGTGTATGGCTCTATGAGATTCTGAAAAGCACCCAGAACATATAGCAGCCTCTCAGTATTTTCTGAATGTTGTCAAATAAAAATGATACCTCAGCAATAAAGGCAGGCGTCTTGGAAAGTGATGTGTGAAGTTGATATGTATTCATTCTTTGTGTTCTATTGAACTGACAATTTAAAGTGAAAAAATAAATAAAGAGCATCATGTCGTGCACACATAACTCAGTATTCTTTCTCCAGCTCATCTACCAAGGCTGATACATCACCAGCTGAAGTGAAATTACCAGGCAGAAGTGAAAACTACCCTTAATTATTTAAACCTATGGCTCTTCTGAAATTGTATTTATGTATTACTTGCATAACTTGAACATTATACTAAAGAAAAGAATCACTGAAAATTCTATTATGTAAAGACCTCTTAACTCCAGAAACTTTAAATCAATATATGATAACAAGATCAAATAATCAGCAGGTGTTTGGTTTGTTTGTTTGTTTGTTTTTACATATATGTGTGTATATATATAGAGAGAGAGAGCTTTTTTTTTTTCCCCGA